GGAGGCCAATTCTGGATCCACACGTCCTTCTACAGTGGGGACCTTGGTTTCTGGGTGGGAGCTGATCACGGTGTGGATTTGTAAGCATGCCTCCCTCCTAGCACGTTTCTCCCTTTCGTCCTGAGTTCAAGTGTCTTTAAAGCCCATGACACCTTTGGTAAAGGCTGTTCTCCAACTGCAGCGCTTGCAGGCCAGTGTTTCCCAGTTGTCAGTGTTTATACTACATTTTTTAAGATTTGCCTTGAGACAGTCTTTAAACCTCTTTTGTTGACCACCAGCATTACGGGTTGACTGTAGCATAACCTTAAAAGTACTTTCCCCAGCTGCCTGTCTGTTCATTGCAGGGGCTTCTCCTGCTGAATGTGCTAACAAGACAACAATATCCTGTCTGAACTCTGAAGCACTGGTAGCTCACCTGGTGCCCTCCAGATGTTGTTGGCCTACAATTCCCATAATCCCCGGCGGTTGGTGGTCATGAGGCCAACACATCTCACGGGCACCACGTTTACTACACTTGCCTTGAAGACTGTGGCAGCATCACTTTTTAAAGTGCTATAGGTGCGTCTATGAGCGAAGCAGGAGGCAAACCACGGCGGGTTAGCTGTGTCGCAAGAACCCTCTTTTTCCTGTAGGGACACGAGGGCGGGAAAGAAAAAGAAAAAGTCTTGTGGGCACTTTAGACTTATTGCGGCGTCAAGAGTAGCTCCGCCCCGCGCCCTTTCGGAACCGTCTTCTCTCACGCAACGTGGGTTGTGTCGTCGTGTCACCAGAAAAGCGATAAGCCCGCTGGTTTCTGCACAGCGCCAGAGCGCCCGTCTGTACGTGTGTTTATTTGTGTGTGAGAGACGGCAGGAGAGAAACGCTTCTAAGCCGCGCTCGAGGACCCCGCCAAACATTGCGCGCTCGGGGACTCCCGCGTCACGCGAGGGCTTCTCCGCCCCTGCCTCTCCACAGAACGGGCCCCTTGGCTCTCCAGAGGCATAAACTTTCCCCCTCCCCTTGCGGGGACTCGCTTGGCGTGTGAAGAGGGAGCCGGAGAGACTGCCGCCCGGCCCTTGCCCTTGCCCTGCCCTCCCTTTCCTTCCCTTTTATATGCAGCGCTGGACGGCCCGCGCGCCTCGGGGACACGCGCTTCGTGGGACTTCCAGAGTCCGGGACCCTTGGGCGCGCCAGCTGTTCTCAGGTACCCGCTTCGCTCCCCCTCCTCCCCTGCCTCCTGCCATTTGCGCCGCCGGAGTTTCCTCGGCTTTCCAGACCCAGCTCCTCCGCAGGGCGAGGTGGAAAGGGACCTCGCTCGCGGCGAATGCCCCGCTTGACCCTGGTGGCGTGCCTTTATTTGCAAGCGCAAGTTCAAAACGGGCGGCGGAGAGAAGGGCTCCTGTCACCTGAGGCGAAAAGGAACACACATGAACCCGGGAAAGTCTCGGCTCAGCAGCCCAGGCGCCTTTTTCATATTCTCGCGCTTGGAGGGACGACGTCTTCTTCGGACCTCCCTGCTGGCCTCGCTGCCTCGTCTCTCACTCGCCCCTGACGCCCAGCGAAAGATGGTTCTGCCTTTCGTCTCTTGCGTTTATTAACTCCGCAACAGGCTTCTGAAGCTGGGTTTGTTTAAGTTAGACTCCCCATAACTTTCCCCCTTTCCTGTAAGGCTATTTAACCCCACAAATATTCTGCCTTTCATATTTACAAGCGAAAGTTACAAGTAACTATGGGTGTGTGCCAGCCAGCCAGCCATGCATGCCCTCTTCCAGCACACTCCCTTCCACCCCATTCTTCCTGGACCCTGTTACATTCTTTCTCCCGCCTGCTTTTCTCTGTACTTTAAAACAGTCAGTCAGCCCTCAAAGTAATATAATGGTGGGGGGCGGCAGTGCCTAATGGTAATGCCGGCTAAGTCAGACTGTCACGTTTAGCTTGAAACAGCTGGAACTGGTGGTGAGGAAAGGTACATAGCAGCCTGTCTTCCCATCCCATTGCCTGCCCCAGCCAGTGACTTCTCCGCCTCTAGTAGTCAGAGGTGTACCTAGGGTCCCTTGCACTCTAGGCAAAGAGCTGCATTGTTGCCCCCCCCCCAAATCACTTTATTGCAATAGCCACATTAGATATTACATTTTACATGACCCAAATACTCAAAAGCGTCTGGAGTGAGGGCAAGGCGAGAAGGAAGGGCAGAAAAATTCACACTCCTTTGTGCAGTTTGATTTCGCCACAACAGTGGCAGCATGTCATCATACACATAAATATCATACATTCCATAGTCTGATAGTTGATTTTTGGTGGTGGTGGGAAAGCAGTTTCGCCAACTCCTCGGTACACCTCTGCTAGAAGTGCATCCTCTTCTGAGCTTTGCCGCTTTGCAGGGGCAAGGGGAGTGGGTGGGTAGTGTATAAGCAGGAGAAGGCGGTGGCTCTCTTGTCCACCCTACCTGGGCCTGTGTGCTAGCTGTTAAGCTTCTCTGTTTGCTCTTTGTGGGCAGTGCACTGTAGCAGAGTGCTGGCCACAGAAGGAGCAGCCACCTCTCCTTCTCACGCAATCACTTGCACTCTGGATATACTGGGGTTGTGACAGGGCCCAATGAATTTATGTAACGTAAAACATTTGAAAGTCCATTTTTTCTTGCATAGTCTTAGTTTGGGTGTGGCCATAGGGGTATGGCTAAGGGGACTGTTGTGCTGAACTCAAGCACTTCTAAATTTACTACTACATCATTGTGTGTTTCATTGCTGGTATTTTAAGTTGTAATCCACCTTGAAATGGTATATAAATGCAGTAGACAATTTCACATGCAACAAGGCCTACTTATCTGTAATATCAGCAGGTGCCTGTTTCCATCAGCATATTCTTGATAGCAGCCAATGGAGGGGGGGACTGCTGCTCCCCTTATAGAAGTTATGATCATGATCAACTGATTTACATATGAGATGGTTAGATGTTATTGAACTACAACCCCCACCAGCCCTCAGCCAGCATAGCTAATGGTCAGCAGAGATTGGAGTTGTATTTCTAGCACTTTTGGAGGACCACGGGTCCCCCCTCCCAACATACATACATTAACTTTTTATGTCATGATATGTTTCTCCATGTAAGTGTTGATATATGTATGGCTCAGAAAGGCTTGGTGTGTACACAGAACAAAGTGTTGTAGGAACAAACTCCTAGAGTACACCATGAAGGTGTAACCCCACCCATCTTAACAGATGGTAAAGCATTACTTTTGTTTACCTCTTCCTGTCTTTGTGTAACCACAGCAATCTATTTTGACCATTAGCCAATGTAAATTTTTAGCAGCTGCATGAGGGAAATCAACATGGATGCTTCCAGATAAGCTTGTTCGGTGGAGGCTGGTCCATTAGGACAGGTGGGACATTGCCCACTTTAATAATTAGGTTTGTACAATTGCTGGTGCTCATGTTAAGGGCCGGCTCACACGTGAGGCAGACTGAAGCAACTGCTTCAGGTGACAGAATCTCATGGGATGAAACTCCTATGGGCTGCCGCCAGGGTTGCGTGATGGCAGTTTCTCGTGAGAACCTGCAGAATCTCATGAGAGTTCTATGAGATCTTATCAGAAGCTGCTGCAACAGCCTGTAAGTGAGGCTTCGGTGGAGTGGGGACAACTTCTCATTTCATTTCAGGCAGTGAAATGGGATGGGCTACCCCTGCTCATTTTATTTATTTAAAAACAAATTTCCAAGTTTCCCAAATTAATGCTTTCTTTCCTTTTAACTCTTACCTTGAGTTCTTCACATGATTTAGGGTTGGCATTAGGGGAGAGCAGCACTCTTTTGTGTTTAATAGCTGTGGGGCAGGCATAAATAATTATGCAAAAAGAAGTGCATTTGGATGAACTTGAACTGAACATATGTCCATTATTTTTAATAGGTTTACCCTGTGTAAAGTTTAGTTGAATCTCACCCTAGACTGAGAGTAAAGACGATACCCTTTTATGCATGTAGTTGTGGTGTGAACACCTCTTTATCGAGAAACAGATTGGTTCTAGTCAATTCCCCTTTAATGTCTTACAACTGTACTTGTAAAACAACCAGTAGTTTATTTTCATCTGCATATGTGGCTATACGTACAGAATTAAAGCAGAATAGTATAAACCACTTCTACCATTCCTCAGGGATTTCTTTCACTACAGCTCGTTAACGTTCACTTTTTACCAGTGGGGTAAGCAGCCATTCATTGCTAGTAATTTTCCAGCTTTGGCACTGTAGATAATTGTTAAACTATTAAGTTGTAGATTGTGATTTATAATGTCCATAATGGCAACAATCTCTAAGCATTCACTCTGTTCTGTCACTGGAAACGTACCCTAATCTCTTGCAGCATAAAATACAGTACAATGACTTGTAATGACACACATATCTTATTACCTGCTGGTAATAAGCTATCAACAAGGATGACAGTTTAATTATATAGTACATCTCCTGCTGGCAAATGACTAGCTCCCAAATATTTCTGCTGCTCTTCACCATTTTTTTAAAGAAAACGTGACTCAAAACTCTGGGTGCCTTAAATTGAATTTTTACTTAATATGTTGATGATGGGTAACACTAGTTTCAAACCACTTCACTGGTGTTTTTATTTATTCAAAATATTTATATACTGCATTTTATTAAAACATCTCAAGGCAGTTTACACACACACACACACACACACACACACACACAGCAATGTTAATAGCCAGTACAGAATTTAATTTAAAATGTTATGACAACTGGTTAGCATGGTCTTAGTTGTATAAGCACCAGTAGGTGGTGTTGTGTTAGGGAGGTTAGAGGTGAAAGTTAGAATTCTTTTACCTCTCCCAACATAGTTTCTCAGCTGTTATTCCTATGTGGTGTCAGAGTAGAGATGATCCATAGTGTTCAGACAGTCTCACAAAACAGAAAGTAGGGCACAGGTTTCCATTCAAGGCATTCTAGGAATTTCCAGTTCCTGCGGTCAGTGTTTATTATTGTTGTTACATTAACAGACAGAGGAGAGCCCTGGAACTGAGAGAGCCTGCAGGATGAAGGCACAACTTCTGCAGAAAAGAAGAGTTGTGTGAAAAAAGACAGGAGAGGCCTGGAACTGAGAGAGCCTATACAAATCCACAAGGGTGAGTCCAGTCCGTCCCTATCCTCTTTGATTGTAGACATTGCCACACTATCCCCAGTCTGCTTCCAAGTTCTGCCCACAGCAGAATTTGATTTCCACCACCCTGAAACCTAGCCACTTAGGATAAGCAGATCTCAAAGGTTTCCCCAGCCATCCTGCCTTGACCAGCAGGTACAGGAAAACTAAGTATACTCTTTTTTGTATATACCATGGCCTCATCAGTAGAGAATCCTCTCAAGGAAACTCACCGAAGTTGAGATGAAATAGTTTAAAACAGTTAAAGAAGAGTTAGATGACCACTTACCACATTACTGCAATACAGGTGGACTTGCTGTTTGCATGGGGGTTGTGTTCTGCCCACCCCTCCCGCATGTCCGCAGAGCATGGCTTTCGGGCCGCTTCTAGGTCCATGGCAATGAACAGGTGCACAGTCACTGACTGTAAAATCTGTTCCTGCAAGCAAGCAAGAGGAGAGTCGGTTTCTCACTTCATCACTACCCTTGTATGCCGACATCCAGCACTGTGGATATGGGGAGATGAGTAAGGCACTAATTCAAGACATATTGGTAGTAGGCTATCAACATTTAGCGTAAGAAATCCCTATGGCCATATGATGGCAACATGCTGTTTTCTACTTTTCTGCTCATGGTGGGAGTGATGGAATGTTTGGGAAAGTTTGGGAGGGTTCTAGCTTCGTAACTGCTTTTAACTAGGTCAGTACAATTTTTTAGGGAAGTAAAAAGGACAAAGTCACAAGATATGGGAGTTGGGTGCTAGTAGCCTCTTGGTAGCTTTTTCTGACCATTGCAGTGTAGTGTTTATGGGTGATTAGTAAGGAGCATTAAGAAGTAACAGAAAGGTTACAGAAGTAACATAAACCCATTTGAGCTGGGTTAAAAAGTTTCTGGGGAGACAAAAATTATGCTTTGCTTGCTTCTAGCTAATATCTGAGGCCAAAGTTAAAGTCTGATGTATGTAGAAAAATGAAATATCTTGCTAATGCCTGGTGTATGAAACAAAATGAAATGTCTTTTGTTTTCTTCTTCTCATGTTCCTATCACAGTCAAGGTATTAATAACCACCTGTTTTCTTGTAAGTAGAAAATATAAATATAAACAAAATATGACAACCATAGAATATTAACTGGCAGATGTTTTAAAGAAGAATTACCTTTATTTTATTGATAAGCTTAGATTTAATTTGCTTTCTTTTAAATTGGGGACTCCTAGTAGTGATTAATGATCCTTAAGCGAAAAGAACCAGAAAGATAAATCAGTTCCTTGTGTGGGAGCTTTAATCTATTGGACATTGGCAGCGTAAGAAATGCTTCGTTGCTGGCAAAGCAAAATGCCCTATTATGATTTATGCACCTGTTATGGCTTGTGGCTTTTTTTGCCTTGGGAACCTTGTGAGTTTGGTAACAGCTCTATTTAAAATTGTACACTGAGCAAAATAAGAGAATTGGGATAACTGAATTTTCTTTAGTAACTTTTTTAAAAAATAAAAAAGTAAAAGCACATTGCTGTATTTAAAATAATAAATTAATATGATAACCAAATTTGCTGAGGAAGCTTTGAGCACACATCAAGCATACACATGAGAATGTGTGGTTAAAATGTCCAAAGCCCTTAAGATTTAATTGGGTCCCGAGACAGTTCTACTCATGTATCCTGTTTCAAAATGTATTTATTTGAAAGTAAGTCTAATTTCCAGTAATTTAGTAGAGCTTGCTTCTCAGTAAGCATCCTGAATACTTTTATCTATATATGAGATCCTTAAGAATTTGAAAAATGAGATAATGTCTTTGGTAGGCATTTTACGTGGTTTGTGTAGAACAAAATGTGAGTGCAAATAGAGCAATATGAAACGAACAAACAAAAACACTGGTTCTTCTTCAATAATAAAGAACAGTAAACATTAAAAAGCTTGAACAGAGAATACCCTGCAATTGCAGAGATCTTCAGATTTGCTGCAATGTGACCTGTCACTTTGCTTATGGCACACTGTGAACTTATTTCATTGTAGAATCTTCAGTGGTGTGACATAATTTTTGCTATGAGCACTGGGATCCGATTTATAGCCTGGCAAGAGAACAATAACAACAGCAAAATTCTAGATGTCTAGAAAACTTCAAATTCATTGATTTCCTAGTTAAAATGATTTGAGAGGCTACCTGTGATTTTAAATGACTGTTCAGATTTCCCCTCCATTTCTGTTTCCTTTCCCTGTTGTGTCAGATGTCTTCTTATATTTTTTGCAGCTTTTAACGTTCTTTTTAGAATGCAAATAGACACTGTCCGTATTTATTTCTGTTCCATGCTTCCTTACTTTTAAGGCACTTTATAAACAAAAATGCAACCTCTTTTTTAGTTAAAAATGTCCCCAGATCAGACTTCCTGTTTCCTGCCGAGGGAAATGGCTGCCACCCATGAGACTGGACCCCCAGTAGTGCCAGAATTCCAGGGCTAATATGAGTGTAATTAGCTCTTTCAAACCCCCCCCCCAGGGTAGGGGAGCTTAGCCGCCCACAGATCGTCCATTATCAGCCTCTCGTAACAAGATGCAGGGGCTGGGACACTGGGCGTTACATGGCACAAACTGGGAACTCTCTGGGGTCAATCTCTCGAGTGGGGAATACCTGTTTTCTAAAAATTAAAAAGATTTGGACAAAAATCTTTCTGGACGGAAAGAGATAAAAGGAAAATCTGCTAAACTACACAGTCGCTGGAGGTCAAGCTTTGGACTTCAAAAAGACTCCCATCTTGGTGTTTTGATTAATGTGGTGAGCAGCTACCATATTTTTGTATTTGTTATATCAGCTATTTAATGATTTGGCGAACCTCACCAAGAAAGAATTAATTACCCAAAGGAAACGCAGGAGGGGAAAAATTAATGGATATATGGCACCACGGTCCTTGGTGGAGAGTCCTAATTAAAATTGGCAGAATAAGATCAGATATGAAAATGGCTTCAGCTGAGGAGGAAAGATGGCGCTGGTAGCAGCTGTGACGCAGCTAGAAAAAGGAAAACAAGGAACCTCCTTTATCTGAGGGAGGCCGGAGATACTTTGTAATTTGAACTACAAAAGGGATGTACTTTACAAAAAATGCATGTGCTCACACGGAATATTTTTATATATGTTTGAAAAGGGAGTGATGGTGAATTCTGGATGCCTACTAGCTCTCCAGGGCCCTGGAGAGCGAGCGTGGTTATTTTTTGGAGAAACTGGGAACAATCTTTATATAATTTATTGACTGTCAAGTACACCCCATGGTATAGAACTTGAAACATCAGCTTGTTATGAGAGATCAAAGTCAACATGGCGTCATTAATTTCAACCTTCTATGGAAGCCCAGAGCAAGAAATGGTAGAGAAAGGAGGGCTACTGAAAGAGGACTGTGTTTCCAAATAATAAGACTGAGAACAATATGGAATAAAAATTTGCCTCCTAGGTGATTATAGAAATATGGAATCATCAAACAAAACAAGATGGAGAGTTGTATACCAGAGACTGATTGAGAGATGCGGGAAGAAAGCGGAAAATAAATGAAGGACAGTAGCTCTTGGAATTCAGAACACGGGAAGTCACCCTTTGAAATTATTTAATTCGGACTTTATAATTGGCTGTATTGGTGTGTTTTTTATGTGGCAAGCTTTGGTTTGATTTGTTATGAATAAAAATTATTTACAAAAAAAAGTCATCTGCTTTAATTAGTGAATTAAGAAAGCTTTCCGCTCAATATCATGAATAAGTCGAACCTTTTCACAATATGAAATGAATATGAGATACTTCCTCCCTCAGCAATACTTATAATACAGGAAGTGAACCTCTATGGACCACTGCAATACCTCCCCACTAGTCCTTGACTGATGTTGCACCGAGTGGACAGAGCTGAGTCAAATCTGGCCATGTCAGGTTGGCCCATTTGTTCATGATCAAATAATGAATCACCATGGTTCTGTCAAGAACCAACATGGAATTCAGCAGCAGAACCAACAGATTGTTGGGGGCAGTGCTAGAGCACTGATAAGTACCACAAATAAGAGGGAACTCAGTGGGTGATATTAGGCACAAGCACCTATGACCACTCCTTCAGAATCTCCCTCTGCTATGCCTGCTCCTCCTCTTAATCACTGAGATAGGCCATCCTACAACATTCATCCAATCTCTGTCTCCTGAGGCACATCTTGTACATAGAACACCCTGCTAAAACAGTTCATACACAGAATTTATCATGCCTCTAGGTCACACAGGCATCAACACATGACAGCCAGATCTCACAGGACCTGCCATAAATACACCTATCATCCATCTGAGCAAATTATATGGTATACAGTGTTCCACCTTATCTCTCACCTGGGGCATAAAACCATCTCTTCTTTACACCTGCCTCAAACCCAGAGGCAGGAGTGCCAACTTGGCCCCATGACCATGGGTGCTCGGGGCCATGGGTGCCATGCAGTGTTCATGGCCCTGGCACCAAAATTTGTGGGTGCCCGACTCCTTCATAGGGAATTTTGTGGGTGCTTGAGCACCCAGGGTCCCAGGAAGTTGGCACCTATGCCCAGAGGATATAAACTCTCAAAGACACCTCAGTCTCTCACAGTACAGAACCCAAAAGCACAAAGCCTATGTATTTCATGCATTCTCTCATCCCAATTTGTTCTATATTCAGTAAACAAATATCAAATATTCATTGTTCATTTTGCTGTTCATCTCATTGTTCATCTTGCTGAAGATAAAATTAAATGCCTGAAAAGGTCACCAAATACTGCATCTTACATGACAGATAAATTATTTCTACCTATTAGCAGTTAATGTATTTTGTTTTGGATACTTGCATGACTAAATCACCAAGTACAATTGACATCAATGACTTTTAGCAGCATACTGACAGTTGCTGAAACTGTCTTATTCTTTTATTTCCATTTTGAGCATGATTGACATTATGAGAAGTGGCACATAATCTTGCCGCTTAAAAATGATTGTTGCCAGCATCT